TATACAAACAGATGTAGCTGTAAAATCTTAATCCAACGGTTAAGATCGTTGCCTGAACAAATGTACTATTTCAGGCATCTGAAAGAGTAAAATGCATCATAGGTCCTTAAACTTTTCGCGGATTCTCACCTGGGTCCTCTAACTAAAGAAGTGACCATCTGAGTCCTCAATCTACTGTGCATTCTCACCTGGGTCCTCCAACTAAAAAAGTGACCATTGGGTTCTTCAACTACTCCCTCCGTCCTTGATTTAGAGGCGCACTAGAATTTTTCACCGAGACCAAGGAAGCCATAACTACCGTAACTCTCCAGCCACAAACGCCGCAAAATCCTTCGTATCCCACGCTGCATGCCGCCAGACTGTTCGACTCCCTGCATGGCCGCATGCACGGCTCGACTCCGCCGGAACGCCCACGGCCCGTGCCCGCGCTCTCCTGCACGTGACTCCTTCAGGGTGTTTAAAATTTTCACTCTATCCGCACCTGTAAAGCTTCCACAGTTCTATATATACCCTCTCCTATACACTTCTTCTCCCTACCTCTCCAATCCTGCACACCTCTTCTCCCTACCTCTCCAATCCATGGCAACATTAGGCTTTGATCTCAACCAAGAGCCGCCCCAAGATTTGCACTTGAGGCAGTCCAGGAAGCAGCTGCGATTGCCGGCGAAGCAGATGCGTCCTTTGCCGGTGAGGCGGGCGCGGAGTCCGGCGCCCAGTCAAGACCACGAATGAGCACCGGCGAAGCAGATGCGTCCTTTGCCGGCGAGGCGGGCACGGAGTCCGGCGCCCAGTCGCGACCACGAATGAGCACCGGCGGAGCAGCTGTGCCCTTGGCCGGCGAGGCGGCCACGTCCTTTTCAGGTGAGAGAGGCACTTCATCCATGGCCGGTGCCTTTTCTTCGCAAGCTAGAGTTGCAGCCTGCTGTAGAAGACAGGCAAGGTACACTAGAGAGGAAGCTGCTCGCGGTAGAATTAAAATAGGGAGCGCAGATGAAAAGGGTGAGGCAGAGAGCAAATTGCATGCATGCATGCAGCTGGAAACTATGGAACGAGGCGTCACAATAACTCCGCACGGGAATACAGGAGGTGAACGCTGGCTCCAATGCAGCCAACAGCTTAGGCGCATGTAAATTCAGAAAACTTTTCCAGGGCCAGCGCGCCCCTGAATCAAGGACGGAGGGAGTAATACATAGCCCAAGTAGAGGTCCAAATCCCACCATGCCACCTCTTTATGTCTATGTGGTTGTGTTGTGTCAGCGTGGATGAGGCAAGGTGAAACTCGCAGAAAAAACACTCCCTCCCGGCCTCCCCCATCTCCTCCATGTCCACTCCCTCTTGTCTCCCGTCAGTCATGCACCCACCTCACAGCTGAGCCTACGTGTTTGCCTATGCTGCCCGCCAGCCTTGCGGCTGCACCTGCGCCCCAGAGGCACACGCTCAGCAGCCATGGAACAGATTAAGAGAGGTGGACTGCAAGAGAGAAGGGGATTGCAAGGGGAGAGAGATGGAGAAGGAGGGTTTTTTTTGCAACTTTAATCAGCATGGCCACGTAGGCAGTTGGCGGTGGTGTGGCGGGTTTTGGACCTTTAGTCAAACACATCAGTAGATTGAGCACCTAGATGGTTGCGTTTTTAGTTTGAGGACCCAAGGGAGAATTATCAGTAGTTCACCCAGATAGTCACTTTTTTAGTTTGAGGACCCAACTGGGAATCCATGAAAAGTTTAAGGACCCAAGGTGCATTTTACTCCATCTGAAATATTAGAGATATGTATAGTCTAACACATGTATATCATGTAGCTTGTACTCCAAGTTGTATCTTGACTATATATATAAAATCCACCCCTCCCTATTGGGTGTGTGGTGTTCCCCTAATTCTCTACATGGTTCCCTTCCGGCTCCTTCCTCTACCCTAACCCGCGCCGCCGACTCCACGGCCGCGCGTCCACCCCACCTCGCGGCCCCGCCGTGATCTCCGGCGCCGCCAACTATACACCGCGCGTCCACCCCTTCCGCTCGCATGTGAGCCTGCTTCCGCTCGCGGAAACTCCATCCCGCACGCCCCTCTGCTTTGCGCGACGCTTCTCTCGCGTGACGCCAGCACGCAACGCCCGCCCACGTACGCGACTCTGCTCTGCCCTCCCTCCCCTGCCCGACTCTGCTTCCACCCGATGACATCAGAGTTTTCCGCCTCCTCGGCCACCAGCGGTGCCCTGGGCTCTGCCCCTGCCGGCTCGATCGTCGCCGCCTACGCCACGATCAACGTCCGCTCTCATGTCCCCTTCGTTCTCGAGCTGCAACACCCAAACTTCCACAAGTGGGTGCCCTTCTTCAAGTCCCTGGTCGGGAAGTTCGGCCTTCGCGGCCACATCGATGGGACTGTTCCGGCCAACCCCACTGATCCCCAATGGGCCATGGATGACGCCTGTGTCCACAGTTGGCTCCTTGGGTCCGTTGCCCCTGACTTCCAGGACCTCGCCAGGGAGGATGAACAGACAGCACGCCAACTCTGGGTCGCCGTCAAGGGCTTGTTTCTCTCCAACAAGGAGCCCCGCACGAGGAATTTTCCTCCATGAGACAGGGGGACCTCTCTATCAACGACTATTGTCCTCAAGGAACTTCGCCTCGCTAATGAAGGCAAGGTTTCCACCGAGACCGCCCTTCATGCCTCTGGCTCATCTTCCTGCGGCTCTGCGTGTCGTTCTGCCTCTGCTTGCTTTGGCGCAGCACAAGGACAAGGCAGCCGTCGCGGTGGTGGCAGCACTTCTAACCGCAACAACAACAAGAAGGGTGGATGCAGCAGTGGTAGCAGTGGTGGTGGCTGGCAGCAGCAGCAAGGTGGATGGCAGCAGCAACAGCAAGGTGGTCCGCGCGCACCTCCTAAGTCCTGTCCGTGGGTCTGTTATGGCCCACTGCCCGGCCAGCAGCAGCAGCAGCAGCCCTGGTTCCGTCCGCCGCAGCAGCAGCCAACGTGGCGTGGGCAGGGGCTGCTCGGACCTCCTCCTCAAGCACACTCGGCATTCGCTCCAGCCGAGTTCTCCACTCCGGCTTGCGTCCAGCAGCCACAGTTTGCTCCTCCACCGGGTCCTCACGCAGGTGGATGGAACCAGGAGGGTCTCATCACGGCCTTGAACAGATGGCACTTCAGGGTGCTAGTCCCTGGGTTCTGGACACCGGTGCCACATCTCACATGGCTTCTTCGGATGGTATATTACTCACCCGCCTTCCTCCTCCTTCATCCATAACTGTAGGCAATGGTCATTCTATACCTGTTGTTAGTCGTGGCACTTCCATCCTTCCCACAGCCAACACCACCTTCCATCTCAATAACGTTCTGGTTGCACCTGCAATTGTGCGCAATCTTCTTTCGATTCTTCAATTTACACGTGATAATCATTGTTCTATCGAATTTGACGCCCTTGGTATTAGAGATATGTATAGTCTAACACATGTATATCATGTAACTTGTACTCCAAGTTGTTTCTTGACTATATATATAAAATCCACCCCTCCCTATTGGGTGTGTGGTGTTACCCTAATTCTCTACATGAAATATAGCAATGCCCAAATAAACTGGATTGCAGATAGTAATACTTAGAGAGTGTTGCACTTTTCAAGAACTTGCACCTTGACAAACAAAGTATACAATTTTAAATATTACTATTAAAGCATGTAACTAAGTAGAGTTACATGTCAAACAGTGCTAAGAAGATGAAATCACGAGCATAAGAGGCAAAAATAAAAGGACACAAGTTTTTTGGGCGCTTTCAAGTAAGTGGACTGAATTATAACCCTATCTATTGATAAACCAGCAAAGGTGTATTATATTATAAAAAAGTTCAACTGTATAATTTACTACAGATTCATTATCGCTCAAACTAGCACAAGACCACACTTCTAAACTGACTTTCTAAGAACTGCAATTCCACATAATGTTTTGCAAACTACACTTGAGTTATTTGCAATTCTTTTTTCTCTACCTAATATTAAAGAGAGGATGATTTCTTGTTCCGTTATCGCCCACAACCATCCAATGGATCCAATCTCTCACGTGCCTATACAAGTTAGAGTAGTGTGTCTAAGCACTGGGTGGAGTCCTATTCCAAAACGAATTAGAATACGGAGTGTTTCCATGGTCGCCACTCTCTCCTGTGCACCTATTGAGTTAGAGCAGACTGTACAGGCGCAGCACGCAGTCCGATCTCAAAACAAATTAGAACACACGATGCTATCATTGATAAATCTCTAAACCTCCCGTACCCATATGAGTTAAAGCATCAGGAGTCCATGCACAGCACAACGTTTGATTCCACGATGTATTGAAAAAGTTGACACAATCGTTGCATAAATCTCCGAGCAACAAGTCATCTAGTTAATCATGAAGCAAGTTGTACGCTCCATTGCAACACACAGGCATGTTTGCTACTTTTAACAGAAAATTGTAACTGTAAAAGGATTGATCATACCGTACATTCACAAGAAATGTGATGTAATCATATAACTAAGCTATGAAGGTAACATTTTTTTTTCCAAAAAGAGTGGCAAAGTTCTATTGAGGTAGCTTTGATCATTAACTGAAAAAGGCTCCTTCAACATAAGATATCTATTGTGATACTTCTAAGCAACAATAGATATGTCCAGTCTCAGCCTTATGGATACTAGGAAATACTAGGAAAACATAAAATATCTATTGTGATACTTCTAAGCAACAATTGATATGTCCAGTCGCAGCCTTATGCATACTATGGCTTATCAGATTTAATCTTTCCCTTCTGAATCCTCTGAATCTGTCATCTAGCTTAACTGAACTGGAAAGTACCCAACTGCATCCAAGGTCCTCTCATCTAGCTTATCTCAACTAGAAAGTACGCAACAGCATTCAAGATCCTGTTGTACCCACCATTCCTAGAAGCAACTCGCCGAACAAATGCATGACTTCCAATAAAACTGCATCTAATCGTAGAGTTCCAATAAAACTGCATCTAATTGCAAAATTTTAAGTTCACATAACACTACAACCTACGGACCCGAACAATCCCATCCGGACAAAATTGCCATTTCGGACCCAGCGCTTACCTTCGACGGCAGAGTGGAAGATGCCAAGCCCGCACCAGTGGAGGTAGTTGTTAATCAGCGTCAGGTCGTACACGTTGAGCACGACCGGGTACGTCGCCGCCCCCGCCGCATCCCCAACCGCCGCGCCACCGGAGACCGCCCCGCCCATCGACCCCGGCCGACCCTCACCGCTCCGCTCCCTCCCTCCCTCTCTGAGGAGATCTCGCGCGCGCCCCGCACGCCGGAGACTGACCGACCGCGCGCGCAGTCGCCGCCGGCGCGCGAGGCAGTAGCTACTGCAGGCGAGATCGCGAGGGACGCTGGATGGAGCAGAAGGGGAAGAGAGGCGGATGGAGACGAACCAGTCGACACGATGACCAACCGAGCGGGTCGAGAGCGTGTTCCGGGAGAGGTTCACGGCACATTGACTGAACGGTGGGGTCAGGACGATGTGGCCCGAATGGCCATAGAGGATGCTCCCTCCGAACCAAAACAATGGTTACTTCCCCAGAAGGTTAACCAAATATATATACAAGAAAGTACATAATTATTATTATAAAATATATTATTGAATCTATTTTTTAATAGACTTATTTAAAGATATAAATATTGCCATGAATATCATAGCAATACCTATTTTGAAATGGAGGATTACGTGTGTATCTAGAAATTGAGCCAATGGGAGTTGGACGATGCAGACGGAAGTATGTACCGGTGACTGTGCCCTAATGTTGGATTATTTCGTTTGGATCTAAAACTTAACATAATATGACTTATAGAATACTGGAATCTTACAAGTATAACATCGCCATTGTCTTTTTCTTAATAGTTTGATATTAAGAATAATATCAGCTCCTAAGTTTTTCATCTCAAAAATATTGAATAAATTCTTAACCTCCTTAATTGTATCGAGGGTGATCCGAAAGATTAGTATATCGTCGACATACTCACCCCGCTATAGTGATACTACATACATTTATCAGCTTTGTTCAAAATAAAGCAATAGACATTAAGGTTTCGTCAAACCTCTCATGCCATTGCATAGACGCTTGCTTGAGACCATACGAAAAACTTCAATAATTTACACATCATGTCTACTTGACTATTGAAAGGTCCTAATGACTAGAAGAGTTGTGAATAGCCTATAAAAATTTCTACAACAACACTACGCAAAGCGGTTAAACAAATATGAGACGAATCAAATATTGCGCTAGCCTACTAAGAATGCAAGCCACCTACCACAATTCTAGTTGATATTGTCTATAAGCACTCAAAGGCTATGACACTACACTAAATTAGTGAGATCTCAAAGACTAACTAAAGAGCCTCACTAACCTCTAGACATGACTCTTGCTTGCTCTCAAAACTAGCTACACTAAGAAGTGTAAATACGCGGGAAGGATGGAGTGTTATACCGTCGTGTAGAGGAATGAGCCAATCACCAAAGGAGTCAATCAATCACAAGAATGAATACCAATGAAGACCAATCATCTCGGAATTAAATGGTGACACAATGATTTTTTACCAAGGTTCACTTGCTTGGCGACAAGCTAATTCTCGTTGTAGCGATTCACTCACTTGGAGGTTCACACGCTAATTGGCATCACACGCCAAACCCGCAATAGGGTGCCGCACAACTAACACAAGATGAGGATCCACAAGCCACGCGTAGTCCACTAGAGTTGCCTTTGACACTCCGCCGAGAAAGGCACAAGAACCCCTCACAATCACAATGATCGGAGCCGGAGACAATCACCTTCCTTCGCTCGACGATCCACCAATCGCCGGGCCGTCTAGGTGTCAGCAAACACCAAGAGTAACAAGATCTCCACCATCCGAAATCGTCCAACTAATGCCACAAGATGCTATAACACTAAGCAATGCACTAGAGGCTCTTCAATCTCACTCAAGATGATGAAATTAAGTGTGCAAGTGAGTGGAGTGGTGTGCTCATCTCTCAAAGGGTTTATGCAGCTATTAAAAGTGCCAAGAGAGTGGCCAAGATCGGCCACTAGCTCTATTTATACGCCCACAAGCAAATAGAGCTGTTACCCCTTTGAGTCAGCTTCTACGGGGTCACCTGACATGTCGGTGTGACACAGGACATGGGGTGGCGATGCCCCCCAACGGTCGAATTCAACGGCTAGTTTGACTATCGGCGGTCACCGGACAGGTGGCGGTGCACCAGACAGGGGGTGGCAGTGCCACCCCGACCAACACCCCAAAATTCATGCTCTCTAGAAAAATTGGGCGGTGCACCTCCTAGGGGTGACGGTGCCCGCAGTGGTGCCCAACTCTAGTTCACCCACACTGTTGAAAAGGGGCGGTGCCATCGGACAGGGTGACGGTGCCCACGGTGGTGCACCGTCGGGCCTGTGGCGGTGCACACCGCCACTTCCGGTGCCAGCCCCAGCACCAGCCCTTCTCGGCCATGTCCAGGTGGGCACCGACCTAGGGGTGGCGGTGCCACCGGACAGGGGGTGGCGGTGCCCCCCGTGGCAACACTCTGAGCCCGGCAACGCCTCCTTTTCTTCACCTTTCTCGCCATCTTTGCAAATGTGCTAACACTCCAAGTGTTTTACCATCACGTGCAAGTGTGTTAGCATTTTCACAATCATTTTCAAAGGTTATTCACTTCTCACCGATTGTGCACTAGGCCTAACATGCATATGCAAGTTTTCCAACACCTAGTGGCACTAGATGATCGAGTTGTCCGATAATGGCTCCCCTCTTAATAGTACGATCATCTATCCTAATTGTGATCACACTCGCTAAGTGTCTCGATCACCAAACCAAAAATCTTCTATTAAGTTTCACCTTTGCCTTGAGCTTTTTGTTTTTCTCTTTCTTCTTTTCTAAGTCCAAGCACTTGATCATCATGGTCACCACACCATCACCATGATCTTCACCATTGCTCCATCACTTGGAATGGTGCTACATATCTCATGATCACTTTGATAAACTAGGTTAGCACTTAGGGTTTCATTAATTCACAAAACCAAACTAGAACTTTCAATCTCTCCCTTTTTGGTAATTGATGACAACCCTTTCACAAAGATATAAATTAAAATTCAATTGAATTCATGTTGCTTGCCCAAGCATATTTACCATGTATAAAAGGATATGGACAAGTTTCATGAACCCCAAATGATAGCATTAGCTCCCCCTATATATGTGCTAAGAGTTTAGATTGAAAGGTTGCATATATGCATGGAATTGAGTTGTGGGAGAGTAATGTCTACCAAATGATGCTAAGATATAAGAGATGGACCTTTAAAGCGTGATACCAATCGGAGTGCACCAATATACCATCCTTAGCACCATTAATAACTAGACATACACAAAAACTAGAATACCTCGTGAGATCAACATTAGAAGTAAGGGTCTAGTTTTCTCAAAATAAACATAAGTCTAGTTACTCAACCTAAGCATGCTAGTTTTTCATTTCATCATTCAAACATACAACTAGCATACACCACACAAGCATGAAATTTTTAAATTTAAAACTTGTGCCAAGCAAACATATGAAATGCATATCCAAATGCACCAATCAAGTTTATGAGTTTGCTCCCCCTACTTGTGTGCTCAAAATTTTAATTGATCCCCTTACTTTCTCATATCTCTCCTCCTATGTCAAAGTTCTTCCCTTTGTCATTTAACCTTATCTTTGTGCAATTTCTCTCCCTTTGTCATCAATGACCACAAATATTCAATTTTAGATGGGTTAAGATTATCAATGTCAATCAATGGGGTGAGGATCATTTTCTAAATTTGGTCCAATCTAAAACACTTGCCAAAGATATTTAACTTGGTTTGATTCAAGGATAAGCTTCTTCACACCTCTAAATAAGGGTTATCTTATATCATGTTGAGTTAAACACTTATAGCTCATTTTCTAGATCAAATGTATCATGTTGAGTTAAATACTTATAGCTTATTTTCTAGACCAAACACTAGGTTCACAAGCCCACAAATATGCCATATGCTACCACTAGATCAAGTCAAGCATAGAAGCAATAGTGGTACCATACAAGCATCAAATTCGTTTGATTTTCGTAAATGAGTCTATTGAGTTAAACACTTATAGCTCATTTTCTAGATTAAACACTAGGTTCACAAGCCCACAAATATGTCATATGCTACCACTAGATCAAGTCAAGCATAAAAGCAATAGTGGTACCATACAAGCATCAAATTCATTTGATTTTCGTGAATGAGTCTAAAAGACATGAGGAATGACTAGACATGTCCTTAGCAAGGATGTATGACATGCCAATCAACTTTTACCTTGGTTGCTCGAAGGAGAGGCTTGTTATATAAGTGGGGGTGCATCAACACATTTTTGAGAAATCCAATATGTTCAACTCATTCCTTAGCTTGCAAAACATTTTCTCATCCAATGGCTTGTTGAATATATCGGCAAGTTGATCTTCGGTGTCCACACTCTCAATGCAAATGTCTCCTTTTTGTTGGTGATTTCTAATGAAATGATGGTAGACATCAATGTGCTTTGTTCTTGCATGTTGAACCGGATTGTTCGTTAGCTTGATTGTACTCTCATTGTCACAAAGCAATGGCACTTTCTTGAACTTGATTTCAAAGTCATTCAATGTGGCCTTCATACAAAGAATTTGTGCACAACAACTACCGATGAATATGTATTCGGCTTCGGCGGTTGATAATGCAACACTATTTTGCTTCTTTGATGACCATGAAACAAGTGATCTTTCCAATAATTGATATGTGCCCGATGTGCTCTTCCTTTCAACCTTGCATCCTACATAATCCAAGTCAGAGTAACCAACTAGCTCAAACTTTGCTCCTTTAGGATACCACAAACCAATATTTTGTGTATGTTTCAAGTATCTCAATATTCTCTTTGTAGCCTTCAAATAACTTTCTCTTGGTGAGGCTTGAAATCTAGCACACATGCACACACTAAACATGACATCCAGCCTTGATGCGGTCACATAGAGTAGGCTTCCAATCATAGACCGATACAACTTTTGATCCATCATGTTGCCACTTGCATCACTATCCAAATTACCATTTGTTCCTATTGGTGTACTTATGACTTTACTCTCATTCATGCCAAATTTCTTGAGCATGTCTTTGATGTACTTATCTTGACTCACAAATGTACCATTCTTTAATTGCTTAATTTAAAGT